CGGAAGACGTAAAAAAGCTATTTTTGTGCCTCCCAACAGTCCCATTCTATTGTCAGTGGAGTCTTGTAACCACTGACGTGTGTGATTACCTTTTTCCGATCTATTGCTTATCGAAGACAAGAAATGTGTGTAATCTTTATAATGAAACTCTTAGCTGTATAGATTAGTATGCATTTGTTAGTTTGTGTTATCAAAACATTCAGATAATTTCTGTCGAGTATTTATTAATTTATATTTTAATGGTGTTCTCCCGAATTCTTTTGAGAACGAAAAAAAACAAAAAAAAACTCATAGTCCGAGTCAAAACAATTTTTAATAATGTATTAGCTATCCTCTTTTCCACCTCCCCCCCCTGTGACAGATTTTTTTCTGGCTCTCTGCGACATAACTCTCTAATACTGACATCTTTCTTCAAGATACTTATAAAAATAACAAATATACATGTCACTAATTCAAAGTAACAGACGCGTCAAATTCAAAAAAATTATAATAATAATAATTTTGGATTAAATAAAATAAATACTTCTGCGACATACCTCTCTAATACTGATATCTTTCTGCAAGATACTTTAAACATAACAAATATACATGCTACTAATTTAAAGTAACAGAAGTGTAAACTTCAAAAAAAAAAAAAAAAATAATAATTTCGGATTAAATAAAATAAATATTTCTGCGACATACCTCTCTAATACTGATAACTTTCTGTAAAATACTTATAAAAATAACAAATATACATATTACTAATTTAAGATAACAGAAGCGTCAACTTCTAGAAGAAAAAAATAATTTCGGATAAAATAAAATGATTTTTTTAAGTGATTGTGTAATATTCTTTTTGCTTTACTATTATGTTCGATATTCTTGCATTTTGTTGCAGGGGAAAACGCACTGTTTCCTTTTTCACATTTTGCAATCCATCATCACATTTAAAAAATAATTAAAAAATCGTGTAATAAGTAGCAGTAGTAACTACGGAAAAAAAAAAAAAAGATCGACGACGAAATCACGCGAATCGGACTCTTCAAAAAGGGGTTACTCAAATGCGTATTTTCATTTCAGAATTCAGTTGTTGTTATAAATAATATAGTATTAAAAATATCGCATTTAAAGTATCGTATTTTTAAAAGCTATGTGGAAATCAATAGTAATAACATTATAAAAAAAAAATAGAACGAAAATTTCTGCTGAAAAGAAAACAAAATTTTTCACTTCATTATTCTTTATTTTTTAATATTCTCAAATGAAAATCGAAAAATCACAAGCATTTTTTTCCCACTCCGATGTGCGAGAAAAGCATCTTTGAATATAATTCTGAAGAAAGAAATTGTTTCAGAATTCTGCACAAAAAGAAGTGTAAAAATTTTTCGTTCCCAAAGGAAAAATCTTTCTGCAAGAGCTCTGTAACGTTCTGTGACAATGTCGGCGTGTCGCCACGAATCTGCCACGGCCTCTCCCCTATNCCAGAATTATGTTCTTATTATTTTTTTCTAAGTTAGAAATTTCATTACTGTACAGTACAACAATTTTACTAGAATTTTTTTTCACCGTGTAGTGATCATATTTTCAAATACTATCACTTAATCTTTACGGATCGAAGATCTAACCTGAAATATTTTTTTTAAAATTTTATTTCCAATGAGCTGCACAATCCGTCTTCCCGATGAGCAGACCTAGTGCGTTCTCCAGAAGTAGTATCCACTCTTTCAGGACCACCACAATGGTAATTTGGACGTCTAGATTCTGCCGCACTAGATGGCAGCACCGAGACTCTATTTGGATGCTAAAGTGCACTAGGAATTCAATTTTGCCGGAAATGCCAAGAGCCAATAAGGCACTCCAGGGATCTTTTATATGCCACATCATACGACATGGCCACTGAGGATTTTCTGCATCCCGAAAATCCGATATCTGGGCCGGGGATCGAACCCGTAGACTTGGGCTCAGAAGGCCGACGACAAACCAACTGCGCCACCCAGCCATCTATCCTGAAATATGCTAATTACGAAATTAAAAGGCAAAAACGTTTTTCCTCAATATAAGGATGGTAACTACAATCAAGAATATATGGTTCCAATTGTATCGTAAGGAGATAGATGCAGCGTTTGATCCCTTAAAAGGTTATTTTTATTTTTTGCCAATTTCGCCTCAGCACTCATGTCTCAGAAACTGAGGAAGCGAATTTAAAATTTTGTAACACAATTATAAAACTTGTTTATCCAAAGATGACTCTATAGAAAAAAATACGTTTCATAATTATAGATTTTTTTAATTATTTAATTTACTAATGGTCTACAAACTTATTTTTGTAAGATATTCATATTTTTAGGCAGGTTTAATCTACGCAATATTGGACGAAAAAATCCGAAATTGGAAAAAACGCTTGAAAAAGTTTTCTTGAAAAATTTAAAAAATTCGACTTCTTTCCCAAAGCGACATACGCAAAGGATGAACTTAACATAGAGAGGTGAACATCGATACAGAAAAATAAGCACAAAGTAAAATTAATATTATGGGTCCAAACTTTGGAGCGCTCTCCTGACCAAACTATTGGAAGCATATTTCCAAAATTGCGGTTAACCATAATTTGGGGGTCAAAAATCCGAATCCGTCGAAAAAGAGGTATCTTTATTCAGAGAAAGTATGTTTTTGAGTCTGATTTCGTATCTTAAAATATCGTCAGCATTTATTAATTAGCACATTTGAGATCACCCTCTTGAGCCATTAAGATTGAGTACTAGAGCGCGAAAATCCGATCACACACTAGATCAAAAGTTATTCAGGCTGGTCAGTTTTTTTTATGCGCATTGTACAATCTACGAGAATATGAAATAATTTTAAGAGTGAGTTTTTTTTCAATGCGTATATTCAATCAAGTACAATTTTTACATGCGAGCCAACCAATTTTTAAAATGTTGCGGCATTGATAAATGTTACATTTATCATTGCACAAAAAAACAACAAACAACAACAACAAAGAAAAAAACACGAGAGATTGATTTATTTTTTATATGAGTTTCACGTACTTGAGTACAATCTTAATTTCTCGAGGGACGGATCTCAAATATACTAATTAATTTGTGCAGACGATATTTTAATATACGAAATTTTAATATACGATATTTTAATATACGAAAAAGAGAGAGTTTGATTTATTTTTATCTAATTTTCACGTATTTGAATACAATGTTAATGATTTGAGCGACTGACCTCAAATATGCTAATTAGTTCGTGCAGACGATATTTTGATATACGAAATCAGGCGCAAAAACAAAATGACAGGGGGTAGTCATAATCTGGGAAATATGTTCCCAACAATTTGCAAAGCTGTAGAAAGTTTGAATACCTTAATATTAATTTCGCCACATCTCGAGAACAAAATTCATTTGTCCAAAGATTATTCAACAGAAAAAATAATTTTAAATAATTATTTGTCCTTCTTTATTATTTTATTTAACAATAGCCCAAAAAATTATAAATTGTGTAGTATAAAAGCCATAAGTATTAAAAAGCGATGTATGCGAATTTTATAATTGAGTGCAAAAGTTTTTCAATTTGTTTAAAACGCTTTTGGGCACGGAGAAATACGCAAAATGTAAAATTAGCAATAAGGGGGTCAAAGAGCCATGGTGGCTCAGGGGATAGAGCGTCCGCCTTCCAATAAGGCGAACCGGGTTTGAATCCCAGCGATGGCTGGTCAATACGAATTCCACACCCGGCTTGCACCGACCANAAGACATGCCATCACAATTTTGATCCTCTGCAGAGGGGATGACATCCCCGCATCGGTACCACATCGACGTGCACGCGAAGTCGAGCACTTCACGGTAGAACAGTTTAAGGAGGAGCGATACTGCTCACCAAATGGTCCCCCACCCGCACATTGACCACACCCAGTGATGCTTGACTTCGGTGATCTGCTGGGAACAGTGTCTTAACGATCAGTCCACGACGGCACTTTATGATGTTAGAAAATCGAAGTAAATTATTCCCGGAACAGCCCGTTGTTGGCTAAGGCAATCATAAAGGCTAAAGCTCCATAATTTTGCGAACAACGGAATGATTATGGCAATGTGGTCAACATTGCGCAGAGGCAGTCTTAACTTCCTAGTCAAACTGGTACCTCTCTATATGAAATTGATTGGGCTTCAAGCAGCTGCTGTGGTTAGTCCCGCAGTGGACTGATCGTTAAGACACGGTTCCCAGGCATCACTGGCTACAGTCAGTGAGCGGGTGGGTGACCACTTGGATCCGTCTGCGTAGGGACCAAGGGTGTGCGGTATTGGTCCTCATTAAACTGTTCTACCGTAAAGTGCTCGACTTCGCGTGCAGGTCATCAGGCTACCGAAGCGGGGGGGGAGGGGCATCCCCTCTGCAGAGGATCAAAATTATGATGCCATGTCTTCGGATCATCCTCAGAGATGTTTCCCAGACCGTCGCCAATAGCCCATCGTGCAGCTCTAATGCGACGTAAATTAACTACAACAACAGCTCCAGTTCTTTACAATGACTGTTCAATGTTGTGATTGTTCCGGTTCTTCCCAGTGACTGTTCGCCGACTCTCATCAATCCCGATGATTGCTTCGCAATGAATTCTGTTCCTGAAACGTTCGCCTTAAGAGCGTTTGCCTTGAAATGAGACGAACCGGGTTCGAATCCCGGCAATGTCTGGTCGGTGCGAATTCCGCATCCGGCTTGCTCAAACCACAGTGCTGACATGAAATATTCTGAATGGTAGGCGGATCATGGGTTAGAGTTCCCATAAAATTTATTTTCATGAAAAAATGAAGACAAATATTCCATACAATATGAAGCCCTTTCAATTGAAGTATATATTGCGTTCAGACACTTTGAAGTATCTTAAATAATCGGTAATTTAAAACGCAAATAATAATTAGTGTGAAATTTTAAGTTTAATTTTACAATTTATAAAAAGGTAAATGGAGAGATAGAAAATCCTTCTAAAGAATAAACATCTGGTTGTTATCGAAAAAAGCAAACGATTTTAAATCAAACGTGAAATACAGCTGCAATTTTTTTAACCGTCAGCATATTTTATTTCTTCTTAGAGTGGCTCAAATTAAGGAATTTAAAGCTTTGATGCTGTCGCTTAAAATTGAACCAATAATCGTTCGTAAAAATTATGTTTCAAGACTAAAATTCATTGATTTACGTTGAATCTGTTGAAAACCATTACATATGCTTTTGCTTTATAAGAGCTTTGTTCTACGTATATTAAATGCTAACTGTTGATTTTTGGTGATGCTTAGTTACTTAGTTGTAATGTATTATTTAGAAAAAGGACGAGCAGCTGGACATCTTTAACAATGACATAGTTCGCTTGAATACATATCCGAAGAACTCGTATGACAATTGTAGCAACGATGAGGTTACCAAAAATGGAATATTTCGTACATGTGATAATTTTTGTTGAATGCTGCTTTATAAAGCTTTGTTCCGTTTATGGTTTGGTTAATAGTCATTGCATTCCAAGAAGCCTGTGATTTTGAGAACTTTTGTAGTGGTTGTTTAAAAAACCTAAAGTGATTTATCAGCTTCGTAAATCCCGTTTTGTTCGATCGCGCTGCTAAAAGAGAAAAATCATATAAAAGGGGTAAGTCCAACTAATTTTTTTAATTTTTTTTGTATATTTGCTCTGGTGTGACAAAATGTATTGAGAATTTGCGATGTAAGGTTAATTAGAATAAGTTAATGTTTTAAGATTGATAATTAAAGAATATGTTTTGAATTCACTTTCTATTACGTCTACTATTTAATTTCGTTGTATAAAGGTTCTTTCTTTGCTAATATTCTTTGGGAATTAGTTTTCGATTGCTAAGTCAATGTTGTTTCTTTTTTATCATATATATATATTTATTTATTTTCTCTTAATTTTTACAATGCACCCTATTCGTCAATACGTTTTGAAACTTTTTCTCAATTTTCCTAAAATTTCACCTTTTTCACTAAATACACAAATTATTGAACATTTGAGAAAATAAAATATTTTTTAAGTTTCATTNTATATATTTTAATTTTCTCTTCATTTTTATAATGCACCCTATTCGACAATACGTTTTGAACATTTTTCTCAAAATTTTACTAAAATTTCACTTTTTTCACTAAATACACAAATTATTGAACTATTGAGAAATTAAAATATTTTAAGTTTTATTTTAATTAAAAAAAAAATTATTTCATTAGCAAATGTAAACTTTGTCTTGTCAAATTTATTTTAATATTTCAATTTATAATTCTCACAATACACAATTATTTATTTAATATTAATATAAATAAATAAATTTTTAGCATTATCAAAATTAATTTTTCAAAATGAACTAGGCTTATTGAAATTTATACCTTATAGACATAATTTTTAAGTATTACAAGCCTATTTATCCCTGTAAACAGAAATAATTATTTGGTGGGTGGATACATTATTTACGTCAGACTGCAGCTGCATAATGGGCTAGTGGCGACGGTCAGGGAAAGAGGGGATGACTCCCCTTCTTTGGTAGCCCGACGACCTGCGCGTGAAGTCGAGCACTTTGCTGCAAGAACAAGGACCGATACCGCGCACTCTCGGTCCCTACGCAGTTTGATCAAAGTGATCATTTACCCGCATCCAGAGATGTTTAACTTCGGTGTTCTACTGTCTTTACGATCAGTCCACTGCAGGACAAATGTTTGAAAGTTGCATATTTTTACAAGCGGTTTTCATAAAATAAAATATGGTAACGTTTTATTAATTCTAATTTCTTGATAAAATTTATTTGTACTTTTTTATTTCTTATTTCTATTCAGAATGATAATTCTTAGTGATGCTCTAGTACAGGACTCCCACCTGTCAGGGAGAACAGGGAAAACCTCGAATTATCAGGGAATTTTATTTTTATTCTTAAAAAAGCAGGGGAAATTAAATTTTTCTTTCTCTCCAAAAACTAAAAAAAAAAAAAATCCTGCATTATACCTGGAAAATAACCAGTTTTAGAATAGTCAGTAACCGTAATCAGTTATTGAAATTCAAGTTAAATAATTTTAGCATCTAATACAATTATTTGTTGCAAAAATTTCACATTTTAGTGCAAGTTCCGTGCTTGCATCCTCTTTCAATGATATTTTTTTTTACTCGTAAAATCTAATATATATTTGATATTACAAATAAAAAAAATTCTGATTATTCTGATGGAAAAATTGAACTTTTCTTGATATGCCAGGAAATTTTTTTCTGAAATTGAGTGTGCATCCTGTACGCAGTCAGGGGTCTGTTTAGAAGAAATTTGGGTCCGTTAACGGACCCTTCACAAAATATCTTTTCATAAAAACGGACCCTTCACAAAGTATTTTAACTTAAAAACGGACCCTTCACAAATTTGATAATCTTCATTATTGTTTTGTTAATCAAATAAACCCTTCCCAAGGCAGAAAACAAGAAAGATTGATGTAAAGGAATTAAGTTTTGTCTTCGGCAGACGCTTCCTCTATTATTCGTACGAAATGAATATTCTGCGCTCAGCAGTATAGGCTAAATACCAAATATTTGTATGTTGCATTTCTAATTTAGAAGCAGCAATTGCTGTTTATTTTTGAACATTTTAATTTTTTTAATTATAATTTTACAGTGCCGAGCTTAATCTTGTATCTATTTACAATTTAAAAGCTTATTGCAAAAGTTTTTTGCAATAACCGGACCCTATTTGTACAATTTCATAAAAGCGGACTCTGGTTGAAAAAATGTGAGCAATTTTTCCATAATTTCACGAAAAACGGACCTTTCACAAAATGTCTGGTCAGACCCCTGGTAGTATATTTCAGCAATGTGTAGCAACAATTAAAATAATTGAAGAAAAAAAAAACTGAAGTCCAAAGTTCAAACTCTATCTATTCTTTAAATGAGTTCAAGCTGGAATGATTTCAAAGTAAAGTATATCAGCGGAATGCTTTGAAAACAAAAAGAATTAATTATGCAATGAATATTCAGTATCCGCACTAGCAACAGGATCGCAACGAAAATGCGATAGTCACGGGGACTCAATTGTAAAGTCACATGTGACTTCAGTGACGGCGATGCGTGGGTTTAAAAATGTTACTATGTCCACCTTTGGTTTGATGACGTCACCCAGATGTTAACATGAGAACTTAATGGGTCATTTAATTACGTTATCGTGTGACAAATATGACATATTCGATTCAAATGTGTCGGAAATATGACAAATTCTCAATTTAATCTAGTCATGGTGAGAAGAAGCTGTGACGTATTCACGTCTCCAACTGGGTCACTGGTTTTCATTTAGTATTGCTCATTTATAATGAGAGTTTAGCTAACTAAATTCGCAATATAATCATACAGGGTGCGTAGCGTTTTTAAGAAGTGCTTAAAGGTGCTTATTTTCGATTTTTGTTTTTTAAAAGCCCTTTAAGGTGCTTTTTTCATTGGGTGTTTTTAAAAAGTGCTTAATTTTCCCTTTTTCAAAATGAGCTTAGTTGTACAATTCAAACA